TGCCTTCTTTCTATAAATCTTGGTGGGGTGTCGCGGAAGTTGTAAACTGCTGTCGATCTTGCTGTGACCCCCTAGGAAAAGGTTATGCCCCGCCCTGTACAAGGTGAATATTGGTGTACAAGGAAGGGATTGTGAATAAATTGCCTTGCTGCAACAGCATTAGCGAGACCATATGCCACGCGATCAAACTTGACCGTGTCACATGACGTATTGTGATGCTTTTTGCCTTTGTGGAGCCGGGGTGGGCGTGGCCTGCGTGCGATGCATTTGGCCCCTGGGCCACCAGTTTGACAGGCCTGCCATATGCAAGGCAGAGAGATATACTTGTTTTCATTTCATTTCATTTCATTTATTAAATTTATAGGCTGCCCAATCCCGGAGGACTCCGGGCGGCTTACAATGAAAGAAGAAAAAAAGAAAAGCAAAATAAGTTAAAAAAAAAGTTTAAAATACACAACACACATACGTTCTAATCAGGGCTGGACCTTAACACTAAGGTCAACAGCCCCAGGCCTGCCGGAACAGTCAGGTTTTCAGAATCAACTGATTCACAGTGATTGACACCTAATTTGTTTGCACCATCTGCCAATAAATTCTCTGCAAACCAAAGTACAACAAATGTCACAGGATTCCCTCATTTCAGCAGCAGCTGTATTGCAAAGACAAGCCTCAGGGATGCAACCCAATGAGAACTTGTCATAACACCCATAAAGAGTTCGGTAAATAGAGAAAGAAAAAAGGACTAGTAGAAAGGGAAAACCAAAAAAATAGCTGTGAAGCAGGAGACCTAAGATCAGATTAACATTTCCTCCAAGGAATTTATACTGACTATTGGGGGGTGGGTGGGGGTGTTCTGGTTTTTTTCCCCTCTACGCAGCTACTGCCCCCCTCCCCCCCAAAAAAGAACACTTGAGAGCATGGTAGCCAAATTTCAAGGAAAATTATGTAATCATGGTTTCTCATCCATTTGGAGGGGCAGACATAACTAGGGGGGAGGAAGTCCTGAAAATAGGCTTAGCCCCATGCTGTGGAGAGCTTTATAGGTAACCCGAGCACAATATAGTAAAAGTCAGAAGCACACTGACAACCAATGCAGCTCATGGAGCAAAGAAGTAAAATGTGTAGGTTGAAAGGCACTTTAACAGTGCTGTTGCATTTTGTACCAACTGCAGTCTGCTCCTACCAAACTGTTGGGGTATTCACCTTCCCCTATTCATAAAGGCAATTTTAGGGCACGGTCCACCCCCAGGTTCTCCCCCAGGGAACGCCCCCAAAGCACCAGATGGTAAAAGATTACCTTCTACCAATTCAAAATACACTGTAAAAAAAAATCCATACATTTCCCATAGGGCAGATCAGAAGCACACCGCAATAATGGACGCCACACTGGCCTCTTCAAGACTTGGGGGCTAAAGGAAGGTGACAAAATGGATGCCAAGCCCTTATGAGTGATAAGTTGCTATCTCAGGAACCAGGCCAGCTTAGCCTTATCAGCATTAACATGCTCAATCTCAGACCACTAGTCTGCTGCCACTGAGAAGCCGCCATTCAGTATCAAAAAAGAACATGGCAATAGCTGGATAGTCCTTAGATACCATTCAGATTCAATCTTTGGGCTTACCTTAATAATAATTTCAGTTTTTCCATCAACATCTTCTGTATGCTGAAATAACTGACTCTGATACTGGAAAAATTGAAAGACATCATAAATTTCTTTTTATAATTACTTCATGCTGCTCTTGGAAGAATACTGTAGTTACAAGAAACAGTTTTCTATTGGAAATATGGCTATGTGGAGTGCTTGCATCATAAACAAGTGAGAACTTATTTAAGTAATATTAAGAAGTGTACACCTTTAAAGACACATCAAACTGTATATCCTGTGTACTAAATTATACACTATCATTTATCTTTCAAATAGGAAAGACACATTTGAGATAAAAGAAAGAACTGCGTATATTTCAATTACTTCCTTTTATATCGTGCTTAAAAACAAAAACAAAAACCCACAGCTGGAAATTGCACATCTGTAGCTTTGTTAGTCCAGAAGAAGAAAGCTTTGTCCAGAGAAGCTAAAAGTTTTCCAATGGTAACCTCCTTCCTTGCCCAACATTTAATGTCTGCTGCCATTTAGATACCTACATCTCTATACTGACAAGAAATTCTGTTTTTTTTCTCTTGGTTTGTTATCTACAAGCTGGCTCAAGTATTTTGGGGGTCCATTAAGAGACTGTCATTATACTGAACAGATTTCCATTCTAATAGCAACAAATTATTTACAAATTTCCATGTGATCATTTTTTTCATTTCACATTTTCATAGAAACAGAGAACAGCTGGAAGAGGCCACAAGGATCATTTAGTCTAACTTTCAGGCCACCAGTGAAAGATAGCTGTCTAATCTCTACATAAATGCCTGAGGGGGAGGGGTGTCACACACCCACAACTTCCATATGTAGACTGTTCTACTGTTGTATGGATTTAAATATTATACAATTTCCCCCAATATTTAACAAATCTAAGTAGCTGCGACGCTTATACGTTAACCAATTTAACCAATTCAATAACCATTGAAATCACTACATGCCATACCCACTTTAACGATAGGTGGCTATATAAGTATTTTTTAAAAATAAGTAATAGACAAAAATCACGGAATGCTGACATAAAATGACAGGTATAATTAGCAATAAAAGCCAACTGACACCTTTCAGTAAAAGGATAGTCCATTAAAACTGTTGGTACATTCTTACAAAGCTCTCTGTGCTAAAAGCAAATTGACACTAGAAAATAAGAAATTTTCAGCACCCACAGTTAGCTCTGATCATAGCAAATCTAATGTTCAATGTTTATTTTTTACTGAGGCATAGTTCTTAAATTTTATTAAATGGCTAGAGACCAATGTGAAGATATTCCCAGCTGCCTCCAATCTCAAATGCTATGAAAGAAAAAGTCCTTAAATATTTAGATGTTTGAGTAAGAATTAAATCTTACTCAAACATCTAAATAATTATTTTGATGTTTGAGTAAGATTTAATTCTTACTCAAACATCTAAATAAAAGAGCAACCTATTGAAGCAACTAACAGTGATAAGGCAGGGAACTTAAGCCAACATACATGGCAATCATGTGACAAATATGTTCTTAGAACTGCCTCAGAAGAGGAAATAATGTGTAGACAAGGGAAACCACAGAATCACCTGGCCTCAATCAGAAAGGAAGTAAAGTGAGCATCTCTTCTACAGACAGCTGGTAAAGAACAGCTATTGAAATCCATGCCTCCCCCCCCCCCACTCCTGGGTCCTAGAAAGCCCAAACAAAGAAGGCTCCAGGAATTCATGCAGAGAAAGCACTTGAGGACAAGAGTGGGCAGACACAGGGCTCCCCAGGTGATTCATCTAAAAGCACTGAGGGAGGGAGGGAGGGAGAGGGAGAGGGAGCACTCGGTGGATATATAAGCCTGCTTACTTTCCTTCCCAGAACCGATTTTAATATTTAAAAACTACAGATATTTTCTAATTGGTAATTCAGTTGCAATCCCAATGCTATTGGGATCCCTGGTGGTGCAGTGGCTAGAATGCAGTATTGCATGCTGACTCTGCCCACAACCAGGAGTTCAATCCTGATGGGGCTGAGGGTTGACTCAGCCTTCCATTTTTCCAAGGTTGGTAAAATAAAGATCCAGATGGTTGGGTACCTTATTGTGACACTGTAAACTACTCAGTGTGCTGTAAAGCACTATGGAAGAGTAAACAAGTCTAAGTGCTATTGGGTATTAATGTATAAAGTCTTCCAGTATTTAAGATCAGCGCATATGAAGACATTCTATTCCTGAAAATTCCTCTCAGTACCCTAAAATAATATTTGGAAGGCCTACTCTGGATATTCTCCAATGGTGTAAATAGGCCTGAAATAGTGCGGTAGGCCTGGAAGATTCTCCATCTTCTGAATGACAGACACACATTTTTATTCTTGCAGAATTTTTAGTAATGTGTTATTTTATACACTACTGGGATATTTTAACTTTCTTGCCACTGCTTTGATTGATTATTTTATTATCTACCTTATTGATTTTATTTGGAACTTTTATGTAAAAGCTTATTTACAGTATATGTTACCATAAACCATTTTGGTGATGTTTAATTGGCAAATGGTATATAAATACTTTAAATAATTAAGTAAATAATACTCTATATGTATCAGAGGTGGGTTGCTCCCAGTTTGGCCCGGATCGGGCAAACTGATAGTAACAATGGCGGGAGTCTTTGCTCACCTGCCCAAACACTTTCAGTGCGTGCATACCCAAACCAATAGTAAAAAAATTGGCAACCCTCCACTGATATATATCTATTATGCATTTTAGAAGATTTTCCTTTAAGCTTTGCCTCAGATCTGAAAATATTTCTGTTTGAATATAAATCCTAGGTCGGAGCTCTAATTTTTTAGGTTATGTTGCTCTAAATGCAGTAGAAGAAATCTAATATATGATTTTGGAATGCATACTTCAGATCAGAAATGATGCTACCAAATCCAAAATCACTGTATGGTTGCACTCTGAAATTCACTAAGAGAGACTATAGTAATGACTACATCCATATTGTCACTGTGCCATGCATCGGGGTGGACGTTTTTCTCTTTCAACAGTGTCTAAAGCAGCATAGGTAGTTTTAAAAGATGGCTATAAGATATTTGAGGCTAAGTTGGATTCCTTTCTTGAAACACTATTTATTACCTCTTTCCTTTCCGCATCAGCTTGAAGTTTCGCTTGAGAAACAGCAGCTTCTCTGTAGGAAGAGCTGGCCTGCTTCGCTTGTTCGATCAGCGTCTTCAGCTGCCGAGCTGTGTTAAGCAGAGAATTGACAGTCTCCTCTAGGTACAGCCAGTTCCGTTGTTCTGTCATTTCAAGTCCATTCATCACAGAGGAGGAGATTGTCTTAGTGGGCGTAGCAGGTGGCACCGCCAAGGCAGGGAGTGAGGTCAGCACTAAAAGATAGAGCCACAAACTGAGTTTGATCCACCAGTAACTGTGCCTGAAAGTTGGCCAAATCCGTCATCCATCCTAGTTGTCATCCACAGCCATTCAATGTGGTTGTGGTAGAGAGCCAGGCGGCAGACTAAGACCTCTCAGTTCAGTTCTGTTCAGAAATCAATAATTTAAGCTGCTTCCACTGAGTGTTTCATCATAGTAAAGTACTGATAATTTCTGGTTGTATTACAAATAACCAATACAAAAACATTTGAATATTTGAGATTTTGAATTGTTTCTCTATGATGCGGTAGCTTTTTTTTTTATTAGTCTAGGAATCTGGAAGCAGGATGTATATACTTTTAATAAATCTTAGAACTGAAGCAAACCATAGAGCAAGCAGGCTGTAACAATTTCAGTGGATCCTATTAATAGTTGAAAATAACAAACCAGCTTTATAGGTGTCACAGATTCTTTTATCTATATCCAAAGTCAATGGGCTCCCAAAACCCCAAGAGGACTAACACAAGTCCCTTTGGACTTTAGGCATCCCACACACAAGCATACAATGGATAGTACTCAACAGTTGTTTCTCACACACTTTTCCAAGCCTACTCCTACTCCTACTATTAGTTCTAGACTAATACAATTTCTGAGCCCTAGTGCAACAGAAAAGTTTTAATGTCTCTTGGCCCTTGGCTGTTTCCAGAAGTTCTATTTCCACCAAGAACAAAAAGCACCTCCCTCTCACTCCCAGAACAACTTAAACACACCAACAACTCTGCTGCAACAACACACCTGCTTGTCTGCTCAGCTTTTATACGGCTGGTTGCTGAGCAGCTGAGCTGGCTAGGAAAAGGTTTTAAAGGGGCAGGGCACCATCAACCCAGATGTTAGCCAACTTGCAGGTAGCCTGGCCTCTCACAACGGGCTAGTGAAATCCAGCACCTGAAGAGAATGCGGCAGTACACATTTAATAACTTGAAGACTTCACTGCATATCCAGTGATTCCCCCNTTGCAAATCTGAAAATATTTCTCTTCCCACCCTTCCCCTTTGAAGCTCCCCAAAATAAGAAGTCTCTCTTTGACCTCTTACCCAGTCCACATTCTTGCTGTGAACCAAACTGCCTTTTATCTGATCATACCCTTGGCTGTATCTTGTTGTCCTGTCTCCCAAGGTCATTCTCACATAGCATTACACACTTTATTTATTAATAAAACATTACACACGAGTCTCACATACTTGCACGCCCAAGTAATTCCTAAGCTTGCTTAGCAATGGGGTGCTAAAATCTTTGGTACGTTCCATCTTTCTTAAATACATATCCTAGACAAGTTGGAAAAAGGAGAAAGCATGAGCACCCAATGAAATTATCAAACTAAAAGAGAAATTTATTAAAATCCAAAATTAAATTGCACTAAGCTGTAAATGGCACAGCACCATATTTCTGAGTTAAACTACCAAATTAAAAAGACCCTGTATTGGCAATGCAGAAGATCATCATTATTCCGAATAAGACATTTTGATATTTCCTTCGTATCAAGAAAGGTCTAGAAGTTTAGAGCGTATTCTGCTCACTGCTCTGACACTAAGAGACCCATGTTTCTAAAAGTGTTTTGCTTCTATACCAAAAGGTGAAAACCAAAAGGAATAAAAACAAGAGAAACTTCATCCTTCATATTTTTTAGAAGGGAAAATAGTCCTTTCTTGATTTAATCTAGGGATACAGAGTCTGGTGTACAAACCCAAACAACCACAACAGGGGATCAAAAATTGGGGTTTTCTTTAACTCTTTGCTAAAGAGCTGGATTTTTGCAGCTCTAACCTAGTACTCCTAATATAATCATTGTTGGTTGCTCAAAAGTACTAGATCATACATGGACACTTGCTTCTTCAGCTCTGCAGGACAACTGTATTCATAAGGGGTGTGATACCTTCCGTTGACAGAACGTTGAGCAGTAATTGACTTTATGGCAACCGGTGCATTCATTCATTGCCTCCCGGCCACAGTTTACACAGGATTGCTGTGAGATTGCAGGCAAAGAATACAAGTTAAATGGAAGTAAAAGGAGGTTGCACATGATGTATAAAAAAGAAGTCATATATAATTTCTGCCATCCATGTACTGGTACAATTCTCTTAATACAGAAACTGGGCACCAGAGGTGGGTTTCTACTGGTACAGACTGGTTCAGCCAAATAGGTAGTAACTTGGCTGGCCATGTGACCGGACCCGTTCTATCCTGGGTGCTGCCATCTTTATTTTCTGTTCTGCACATGTGCAGAACAATCTTCATTGAAAAAATGTAGTTTTCTCCCTTTTTTAATGGTGTGCGCATGCACAAACCTTTTTAAATGCAAATGTGCACACGCACGGAACGCATGCAAAAAAATTTGGACACCAAACTGGTAATAATGCCGGCAGGAACCCACCGCTGCTGGGCACTCTTCACAATTAAAACAAGTTCTCTAACTTCTTTCAGGAACCAAAGACAGCCCAAATTTGATAATATGAAATAGAAAATGTCATGTCTTTATGAGACTCTGGAAAGTATCTGTTTGCCTCTGGTTGCAGCAAAATGAAAAGAAAGGAAACTTGCAGTGGACAGAAAGCTCTGAAAAGCAAAAATACTGTTACCATCCATCCATCCCTTCATCCATCTATCCATATATGATCCCACACACACATGCATTTGTAAATTACTAGGAACTTTTGAGTACCACTAATCTATGTTGTAAAAAGAAAGTTTTTTTAAAAAAATTCTAATTTTATTAAAAATTGCCATTACAATGATAAATACAAAACTAAAAAAATGAAAGAAAAGCAAACAAACAGAAAAGAAAAATAGGAAAAAAATAAGAATATACTAAGAAAAAAGAAAAGAAATACATAATAAATTACTTCTCCCTTCTTCATAACAAGTATAAACAATTTTAGTAACATCATCTTTGCTTAAAATACAACAAATAATCTCTTCTTCCCATATCCCCTTTCTTTATAAACAAATGCTTAAAATATCATCTGCTTTTTAGCAAAGCCTTCTTCAGTTTTCCTTTCCTTCCCTGGGTGTCCCAAGAATTGAGATAGCACAATGCAAAATTCTTACCACTAGACCATAAAAAAGGCCATCGTTATCCAAATGGACAGGAGAAAAATTTAAAAAATCCTAAGTATATATAATAAGCAGGCAGCAGGAAAAATTATGAGGGTGCAACTGAATGTGAGTATTATTATTTTTTGTCTCACACTGGGGCAGGAACAAGAGTCTTCAAAGAGTAGGCAATTTGGCATTTCTCAGTAGTTTTATGGTTAAAACATGCAGCTAGCAGGAAAGATGCATCAAAGTCTAATGATTCTGAATTGTTAATAACAGAATGCAGAATGATAGATAGAAAATGAAATATGGAAAAGCACGAGATTAAGGAACTGGCCTCCAGAGAAGCCAGACTTTTTAAAATTTACATGATTAATACCATCAATCTCTTATACTTGGACCACAAGTTTTAATGGGATAGGAAACCTTGGGAATTTGGAAAAATAACATTTTGTTTTGTATTTCTAACCTCTCTGTTCAAACAGCTCATTCAAAACAGAAGAAGAAGATGGATTTACATCTCAATGAGCTTGCAACTCATATTGTTACTTAGGCATGATTGGTGTCTCTGTACAGGGCGGGGCATAACCTTTTCCTAGGGGGTCACAGCAACACTTGTAATAACAACACAAATAATTCATACACCATTCGAAAGCCCATCAAAAACTGAGTTTATTGACAACAATACATTCCACAATCCTACTCCTGTCTATTCTCCCCTCCCATCATAATGAAACANATCCAGTTCCTCTAGTTTCTCACAAAGTCAAAATGTGTGGGAGATACTAAATTTATGCAGAATGTTTCCTTCTTTCACTATTTCTCAGAAGTGGTGGTGGTAGTGGGATCCATGACTGAGGTGGAATCCAAGATTGCAGTGGGATCCACAGTACCAGGCACCTGAAAAGCAAGATGTGGCAGATTGAAAGACAGTCCTTCCTCTCTGGACTGCAGGGGTATGGCCCATGCTATGACAGATAGTCTTTGACTTACAACTGGGACCTGAATTTCTGTTGCTAAGCGATATGGTCATAAAGCATGCTATCATGTGACCATATGGCTTAGCAACAGCAATCACGGCAGCCCCACTTGCCATCATAACTGCAGATGTTAACTCCAGGGTTGTTAAATGAGCAGCAGAAGGAGTCCTGGTAAGGAACACAAGGCTGCCACAAGGGAGTGGGGGAGGCCCAGCACAGGCCACAGAAACATGTGGATGTGCTGTGATGCAGTACAAGCTCAGGGAAGCAAAGGAAAGAACAGTTCAGGAGCACCTTGATGTGCCACGTCTCTGGGGCAACAAGACGCTCTTGAGCTGCAGTGCAGAGCAAAGCCACAGCTTCCCCTGGAAACCTCAGCTGTCCCAGCAGCATGGCACTAAGCTGCCATATTCTGGGAATCCCAGAACTGTGGTTCCAGGAAGCCCCTTTGCACTGCACTGCTGGCCCAGGTTTAGCATTGCAAAGGCCTTTGCACCATGATGGTGGGCTTCCTGGGAAGCTGTTCACCAGCCCCAGCCCAGCAGGGCACCACAAAGGGTTTTTCTCACAGTGCTAAGAGCTTCTGCAAAAGGCTTGGCTTTGCCCTGTGAAACCCCACGTAGCTTTTGCACTGCAAAAAGCCAGGCCTGCCCAGCAGCTCGGTGCAAAGCTGCAGCCACCTCAGTCCTGTCCCAGCTGCCCTTGCCACCCTGCCCTCGAGGCCTTTGCTGCCCTGTGCATCATTACCCCAGTTGACTTTCATTAACTTCTTGCTCTTGTTGCTGAGAAGGCATCCAGCCTGGCTCTTTGTGAGGCAGCTGCTCTGCAGAACACTGGAGAAAAAGCCTCGTACGGCCTCACCAAGGGTCAGGCTGGGTCAGAACCAAGAGCAAGAAGATGGTGAATGTCAGTTAGGAAAGCAGGGACTAGAGGGATATGGGACATAGATTGGGCTGTGTGTGTGAAATAGCAGGGGCTGAAGGCCCAAAGGGGCATAGATTTGGGGTGGTGTGGGGGTGGTGATAACTCTCAAGTTATTCTGTAACTCTTGCAGGAAAGAACACACCCTTGTCTTGTCAAAATTCTTTTACAATCTCACTGTATTCATGCAGGTAACCTTTACAAAATACAGTATGGTACACCTAATAGCTTCATGGCACCTCTGTGTGAATTTTTTTAACCTCCTGTTAAGCCAGAAATCTCTAAACCAAGGGACCATATTGGTGGTGGATGGGAAGGGCTGGGAGGGTTCGGAGCTATGACCTAGATATTCCCGAGAATCAGTGTCCTTGTTCAGTCAAAACTTTTCAGAGCAAGTCAAATTAATAGTCCCCATCCTGAGGAAATTGAAAGCTACTGAAACTGTAGGATTTTTTTTTTTAGGATTTTATTGAGGATTTATATGCCGCCCTTTTCCCTGAGGGGACTCAGGG